TTCTGAGGATTCCTCATAATTTTCAGGGGTGATGATGGGGAGCTAAGACTTGGAGTGCGCCGTGCAGCTCAGCTTAAAAATGGATCTGCTTTTGCAGCTCTTTATAATCAGTGTTCAAATCTTGGTTCACTAGCTAACATAGCACATGCTGTGGCCACAAAAAGTGTGTTCCACATCTACTACAACCCCAGGTGATGATGAATATAGCTGTTTCTGTTTAATGCTTTGCATGTTCATATTGATGCTGATCTTTGAGATAATATGAACTAAAATGAGCTTTTTAGCTACAATGCAATAACTATTTACTGCTGGTTGATGAGGGTTTGAAATCATGTGTGATATCATTTCCTGAGCTGTTTCATGTAGCACAGCAAGTCCCATTACATTAGTTCCAGTGCTTACCCATTTACCATGACATAATTCATCTAGTAATTCAGGACTCTTACTGGAATCCAACATTAAGTGATATTATTGCTCTTTGAATTGATGTTGCCACCTGCATTTGGACCCTTTCAATCAAAAATCTAGTTCCACAAATCTTTTTTCGATATTATGACAAGTACACAAGTAGTGAGTGACCTTTGGTTCTTATGTATCTCGTGTGCATTTTTACCTTCTTGGACCCTAATGTGGTAAATTAGAAAGTGTAAATATTCTCTAAGAAATGGAAATATACATGAGCTTTGCTGCAAGCCTTACCTTTTTATCTACCAACAATTATGGCCCTGATGGCAATTACTGCTTTCCAAAAAACCTTACAGATTAAGCCAATCTGAATTCATTATACCATATTCGAAGTTTATGAAGAGCTTCACTCAACAATTTTCTGCCGGTTTGAGGTTCAAAATGAGATATGAGAGTGATGATGCTTCTGAAAGAAGGTTGGTGTGCTCCAAAAGTTGTTCTCATCTTTACACGGATTTATTATGGTTGACACATCAGAGTATTATGCAGATGCACAGGGATCATAGCAGGAATTGGTGATGCTGACCCCATGTGGCGTGGTTCGAAGTGGAAATGTTTGATGGTATGCTGCCTTAAGTTTTAATGCTTCACTTTCTGTATACCTTTTCTGGTGTTTTAGTTTAGTTACATATGAAAATAATCCGTGTTAGATACTGCCAGCAACATAGCCTAGGAAGATTCTTCAGAGTTTGTTTCTATCTGTTGTAACTGAATGGGCCAACTGCCTCAACGTTCCCATGTCGCCTAGATTATAGGATCGGCTGTTAGTCACGTTGGTTGGCTAAGCTCTGGTTCATGTATATGTACCTCCGTCTGAAAGTAATGGAAGTTGAGTGATTCTCTGTAGTTCTTCTCTCTTACAGATACATATAGAATATAACCTGACACTAAGCATTTGCATCGTGTAGTTGCCTTTGCCACCTAATTGCACTATTTGCTTGCTAATAAGCCAATAAGCAATCTTCCACATCTATCCAGTAATACAATGCACAACCTATTTGCACTATTTGATTGCAATTTGCAGCCTACTATGCATCCTGTGCTCTCTGTTTGATGTAGAAGGTTGATCGAAATGACATTAATTTTTTTACGTAAGTTCTCCAGAGCACATTCTTTGATGAGCATCAGTTTAGAGGCATGTTGTGTCTTATCTAAAAAAGAGGCTTGCCTTGTGCCAGCCTGGTTTCCTTGATCAGGGCACTTCTAAGTAAATCGTTAAAGTATGAAATGTAAGTGGAATGATAAAATTGGTAGAACTTGTTTTGCATTGATCTGATCATGGAAATATATACATGGTGAAGTAGTTTGGTGAAAGGGTGTCTTGTCCCGATAGGATACGGCAACCATTTCCACTCTCTGTGCCAAAGGACATGACCTTTGGTGGCTATGGTAACCACCTAATACACTTACTAGTGCCTACTCTAATCTTTGATGAGATCACTCATGAAGAGGTGTCTATTTGTAGAGGCATCTTGAAGAGGTGTCTATTTGGAGAGGCACTTATTTCACAACATAAATAAGTTTATTTCATTTTGGTTTCTTATTACCCTGAGTGCACATTGCGGGGCACATAATACTCTCTTGACTTAGTAAGCCAGGTTTATATTAACCAGTTATTCGTTTTTGCAGGTCCGATGGGATGATGATGTAGATTTTCGTCGACCGAACAGGATTTCTCCTTGGGAGATTGAGCTGACTAGTTCAGTTTCAGGATCCCATATGTCTGCACCAAATGCAAAGAGACTGAAACCATGTCTTCCCCCAGACTACCTGGTTCCAAGTATGTCTGTTCTCCCGCCAGCCCCCCAAGCCCCAAAAAGAATAATAATAAAACTGCCCACTTAATGGTTATGTTGTTATCTTCTTTATGATTAATATTTTCATTTTGGTAGATGGAAGTGGTTGTCCTGATTTTGCGGAATCTGCCCAATTCCACAAGGTCTTGCAAGGTCAAGAATTATTGGGTTATAGAACTCATGATAATGCTGCTGTTGCAACTTCTCAGCCATGTGAAGCAAGGAACATGCAGTACATTGATGAGCGAAGTTGCTCCAATAATGTGAGTAACAGTATCCCAGGGGTTCCGAGAATTGGTGTCAGAACACCACTAGGAAACCCTAGGTTTTCCTACCATTGCTCAGGCTTTGGGGAGTCTCCAAGATTCCAAAAGGTCTTGCAAGGTCAAGAAGTATTTCATCCCTACAGAGGAACTCTAGTCGATGCAAGTTTGAGAAATAGTGGCTTTCATCAGCAAGGTGGTTCTCATGTGCCTACTCAAGCGAGTAAGTGGCATTCACAGCTTCATGGATGTGCTTTTCCTGGGCCACAAGCACCAGCTATTCCATCTCAATCCTCATCTCCACCATCTGTCCTAATGTTTCAACGAGATAATCCAAAGTTGTCCCCGTTTGAATTTGGGCATTGTCACTTGGATAAGAATGAGGATAGACGTGCAATGTTTGGCCATGCTGGAGGTATTGGAGGAACTGAGCGAGCGATGATGCGCCAGGCTCATGTTTCTGGAGGAATGGGAAATAGAGATGTGACCATTGAGAAATTTCACCCCACTATTGCTGTTGGAAAAGACGGATCAGATAACAGGGAAGTTAGAAAAAATAGTTGCAAAATATTTGGCATATCTTTGACTGAGAAGGTTCCAGCAATCAAAGAGGACTGTGGTGATACCAACTATCCATCACCCTTCCTGTCTTTGAAGCAACAAGTGCAGAAATCGCTGGGCAACAGTTGTGCCACTGTGAGTACTCTACACCCTGTAACCTTGATGTCATTCTAGAGTTAGCTTCCTTTTTAACTATAAAATCCTGCAGATTCATGAGCAGAGGCCTGTTGTTGGTAGGGTGATTGATGTTTCAACAGTGGATATGATGATCTGATCTGTTAGTAAAATTGTCTTGTCCTGGAGGTGAAGATATACTAGTACCGCATTTGTCTTCATGTTAGTGACACTCAAAGCATGTAAGTTGACTGTTCTTGTGCACATCGCTTATTGTTGCGTTGTATTTTTGCAGGCTGTGTTGCGTAGTGTGGATAGTCTCAGGTGGTTGATGATTCGGTATCATGAAGATGGATGGATCGAGGATGCTGATCAAACTTGTATCCTAGAGCACTTTGTATGACAACCGTCAGTGCTCTGTGTTATCAGCATTTGTTGCTGCTTACAACTTGCCTCTATGTTTATAAGCCGTATGCTATGGCAAACCCATTTATAGAGGGTTTGTTTGCATTGGCATAGTTCTAGACTATAAAGTATTATTATGAGAACAAATTTCTTAGGGCCGCTTGACGCCTCTGCCCCAGCCCCATATCTTTCTGACATTCAAGTTGGCATGTCGATCAAAGTAGGCAACAGATTAACGGCGGTGCCAATGATCTGAGAGGTTAGTTGTGCTATCAGTTCTAGATGTCATGTTTAGAGCCTTCTGCCAGCTCATTGTCATGTACATGTCAACCCTTGATTTGTTATCTTGTTAGAACAACTGCGGTTCATAGCCATCCTCCTATAGCGAGAGTGGTAGCAAAACCCAGGACATAAAATATGGTTGTGAAAACTGAAATAGGTCGGACAGGGAGCACCTTTCAGGTCCCAGCCCGGTGAGGCTGGCGTTCAGCTCGGTGATGTGTCCGCAGCGAGCGCGTGTTTGCAAGTCCAGTCGTAGTTCTCGACGAGAAGCCCAGACAGTTCGTGCTGATTCTGTACGTCCTTGCATAGCCATAGTTGTCTCCGTCCGTGCCAACGTCGTGGACTTTGGTCGTCCGCCCGAGCCCCGACCGCCGGTGACCGTGCCGTGCGCCCGAGGTCCGCCAAACCACTGCCGCTCTGAAAGCATGCCGCACTTCCTCGCCAACAACTGTTTCACTTCGCACGAGAGTTGCCGTCGCGACACCGCCTCTTTACGATTATGTTATGTAGTGTCGCCTGCGAACCTTGACCTCCGTGGTGGCTTCTGTTTCATCTTTCCTCCGAATACCTGAAATTTCGAGCGAGGTATGTCACTATAAAAACATAATCATGGGTTGGAAAACTAATGAAGACTGAATGAACATGTTTAACGAAAAATAAATCAAAATCTGCTACTTCACTTAGAAAAGAGTTTGTCAACCCAAAAGGACAACAATCGGTCTTCCTCTTCCCTGGTCGCTGATCATGTTACATGTTACTCAACACGTCCGGAAGGCAACGTGCGTATTTCCTGGTGGCAATCAACCCAATAGGACAAAAGGCAGTTTTGATACAGGAGAATATATTGCCATAAAGTGCAGAATAGTATGCCAGCGTTATACCACTCCATAACTGCAAAGTTAGGTTACTTCACCCAAACACTAAAGTCACATAAGCCGTGGAACATATCAAAGTGATCAGATGCAGAACCCAACAAGACAAAAGAGTGCAACCTGAGCATACTAAAACCCATCAACCTACAGAATCCAACAAGACAGTGTATCCTGATTCCTAAACATACTAAACCCTATCCTCCTAAACAATAAGTCTGTCAACACCCCTCTAACAGGCCTTCTCACTCATCGTCATCGTCAATTAGATCGGTCAAATCGTCTATGTTTGTAGCATTTGGAGCACCGGTCTCTGATGAACGCAGCTCTTCGATTTCAATACGGAGGAGGGGATCACAGATAACCTTCCCTCTTTCTAGGACTCTAGGACAGCCTGATTGATGAAGAAAAAACAAAGTGAGCACCTCATGAAAAGGAAGCACCAAGGAATGGCCAGGGAGCAATGATATACCTGCAATAGGGCACTGTGGTGGTTTTTTGGTCCTTATATATTGCATTACTGGGTCCTTTTCATATATGTGCTTGCAATCCACACTGCATAGGAAATTATCATCAGATCAGGACAATGAATTATATCTACATCTATACTGAACAGATAACATTTAAATGCCTAAGTACTACCCCGTTTCAAACTATAATTCTATAAATTTGACTCAATTTTTAGAAAAATACAGTATATCATTTACAAATTCACATAAATGCATTATCAAGAAATATTACATGGAGAACTTAATGAAACTAATTTGACGTTGCATATGTTAATGCTTTTTTAAAACTTGGTCAAAGTTAGATACGTTTGATTTAGGACAAAGCTAAAGTGAACTATAATTTGTAATAGAGGAAGTAGTAACTAGCAATCCCCTCTATTCCATCTGTTCATCTTTACAAGGTATATTTCTTTTCAATATGGCAAGCCTTTGACAAAAAAAAACGTTATTAACACATAACTTTTGTGACACAAAATTAATCCTATTATATTCATATAATAAATTTTATGATTCTAAAAAAAAGGCGTACCCAGTGCAGAGAGCTCCCGCTCTCTGCGGGGTCTGGGGAAGGGTGTTAGTGGCAAGCCTTACCCTCGCCTGTGCAATGCGAGGAGACCGCAACTCGAACCCGGGACCTTCTGGTCACAGGCGGTAAGACTCTACCGCTTGCACCAAGCCCGCCCTTCAATAAATTTTATGATTCTGTATCACATAAATGAAAAACCAATGTATAAATTGTCAGTCAAATCTTTATACTAAAGAAACAAAGTATGTCATGGAGTAATAACCAATTGGGGATTTATCAGCCAAAAATGGCACAGGGTTGTATCAAAGTATTCCATGGTGACAGAAAGGAAATTATTACTTTTCGGCTGTCTCAAAGTAAGTCAGGTTGCCAGAAAGGGTTGTATATGTAGCACCAGATATCTGGTGTAGAAGACTGTTACGCTATTGACAATGGCAAACTAGTAGCTCCATCAGGGAGACAGGGAGCTGAGAACAAATCATTCTACTGACATGAATACCATATCAAATGAGGCCAGGAAAATCCAGATTTCAGTAAGTCACCGAAAGGATACAGGACCAAATATAGTACTCAACAAACATAATTCAAAGTGCTGTTGAAACATGTTGCTTGTGCGTACAATTTCCACTCCATCTTTATCAGTTGAAAAATAATATTGTGAATGATCATTCTCTTTTAACATGACATGGCTTAAAATATTCCGTCAATTTTGCCAGGTTGAAAAGTGTTCCGCTCAACCTTCACTTATTGAGTTAGAAAACCCCACTAAGAATATTCAACAAGATACAGAAGTACAGAACAGAATTATACTCATACCAGCGAACTGGATCTATCAATTCAATCACAGGCTTTCCTGTTAATGGGCATGTGACATTTAAGATGCTCATCTGAGTGCTAGTCATGACAATGTCCTCCTGTTCCTCACCAGGCATAGGCTGACCAGCATGGTGAACATTCTGCAGAAAACAACACAAGACATCAGAAGATAAGACATTTTGCGAAATTACACAAACATATCATTTCTGTTCCCAAATTCATATTCTAGCTATTGTAATCATATGAGAGCAACTAGCTAATGCAGGGAGCACATTTAGAATGCATAATCCTGAAGATCATCAAATGACCATTAGCATGCTACTCTGTAACACATACCCAGACAGTCTCCCTGAACTGCCGAAAGAGTGGGTGGTTCTGTTGTGATGCTGATGACGCTCCCTTAATCTTGCTAACCTCCACCTCGATCAATGTTTTGAAATCCGTTGGCTTCGAGTGGAGACGGAATCAAAACAACAAGGCCAAGAAGAGTCAGACATAATTACTCCAATTTCAAAGGCCCTAAATCGCTTCAATCCGGACGGCAGGCAGCACCCCACCTGATCAGACGGCTGATACACTCCAGGCACCGCCTTAATCGCCTGGGCCATGGCCGCGCAGTCCTCGTACGAAGCCACCATCTCCAGAACCATCTCCTCAAGCTTCTTCACCTGAAATGAAAAATGCCCGTGCCGTTGGGGGTGTTAGGGGGTTTAGAGGCGAGGTCGGATGGGGATTAAACAGTGGCGTTCGCTTGCCTTGTCGGACTTGCCGTCCCTCTCGAAGTCTACGGCGAGGGACTTCATGGTGCTGATTGCCTTCCGCATGTCCTGCGGGGAATCGAAGGAGGGTTAGGGTTTTGCGGGCGGCGGAGGCGGGGAAGGGGGGGAGAGAGGTGCGTGGCGGAGGGGTTTACCGCGACTAGGGTTTGCGCGTCCGACGAGGCGACCTCGGCGGTGTTGACGAGCTTCGTGGCCATCGACATCTCCGGCAATGTCTTTGGATCTTTCCGTTCAACGAGAGCGCGGGTCGGAAGAAGCGATAGAGTTTAGACCGAGCTGGAAGACAGAGGACAAGTGTGCGTCGCGTTGGGCCGCATAGGCGTGAGTTGGGCTGTGGGCTGTGGCCCGTTGTGCGGTGTCGGTGTGTATCCAAGCCACACGCCTACACCTGAATCTTAGCTAAGCCAATCTTAGCCAGGCTCAGCCTGAGAATTTGTTTTCTAGGATTCGGCGCAAATAGCAGGTGAATTAAGCTTATCACGCGACAACAACTGCGGATCAGCTCAACGATGACCTATGATAAGTTCCATGAATTGCAGGTCACTTGTGTCACCGTCAGGGTTTGTCAGTTTTCCATGGATTAACCTCGTCACTGTAAGGTCTGTGGACTCAGTTTATCACGTAAACAGGATACGCCTCTTTAGAAGATTCTTTGAACAATATTTGCTGATCAGCGTCACAGGGATTTGGTTGAAATCATCATCAGAAAACAATGGACGTCAAATCTCCTATCCTTACTTGCCATAGAAGATGTACACCTACATCTATATCTATACCTAGTAATAAAGAGGTAAAATTTCTACCATCTTTAATTTTTCATCCAACCTAATCACCGTATTCTATCCGTGTTACCAGCGCTCTGTCCGTGTCTTTTTCTTTTTCCGTCTCTGTGTCTGCTTTCTTTTTTCCTTATCCCGCAACTACGTGTTCCGGATCATACGTCGGGGTCTGAGGGATGTGCCGCCCCGCTCGTGCACGGTGATGTCCGTGTCTTTTCTGTTCCAAAAAAATTCTGCCCTTTCCTTTTATTTTGCTTTTTCTTTTCAAGCGAGGGAACTGTGCTTTCTTTAAAAAATGCTGCCCTTTCCTTTCCTTTCATTTTGCCTTTTCTTTTCTAACCAGGGAACTATGTTTTTTTATAAAGATAAAAGATAAATAAGAAATACAGTATTACGGGTCTTTGAAACTTTTGCTTTTTCTTTTCTAACGAGGGAACTATGCATTTTGATAAAGATAAATAAGAAATACAATATTACGGGTCTTTGAAACTTTGACCTCTAATAAACAAATATTTCTATTACTAAGTTGTTAGTTTTAATTAGAGATAAATTATTACTATGACATGAATCAGTCGATGGCCTAACTATCAAATCCTAAGATGAAATCTTAAGCAGATTGTCATCCAATCGAATCAAAATAAATGTTTCTTCAAGATATCTGCATACCAATGTAAATATCTAAGCTATCCGCATATACTAGGGCAAATCTCGGTATCTCAGTCCTGACATGTAGAAACCGAGACACGATGAAGACCAATTTCTTGCCGACTTTAATAAGCTATTAAAATTACATGTTTTTATGAATCCTCAAAAGAAGTCACGAAACTTTGATATCTAACTCTACCTACACATGGATAGTATGAAGCTAAAGTTATATGATACATTTATGAGTAAATATTTGTGTGCTCTCGATAAGTGCTGACATGTGGAAACCGAGACACGATAACGACTAATTCCTTGCCGACTTTAATAAGATATTAAAATTACATGTTTTTATGCATCCTCAAACGATGTCATGAAACTTTGATATCTAACTCTACCAACACATGGATAGTATGAAGCAAAAGTTATACGATACAATTACGAGTAAATATTTTTGTGCCTTGCAACGAAAGAAAAAAAAATCTAACAACATTGTATTTTAATTCAATACAGAATTAATAGAATATTGTCATAGTATTGCTAATATTAACTTATATTATGAGTACAATGATCATCATAAAATAAAATATAGCTTTTAAGTTTTATTGAAAGGATAATAAATAAATATTTAACAATGTCATTCTTGTTTCCGTTAACAGGGCCATTCGTTTGTAAATGGTACAGCAATCACTCGCAGCATCAAAAGTATCACCTAACAAATTAAGCTATTGCGGCCGCGGCAGCTGTACAGCAAGTTGAAGAGAACGAGTCGAACTTTTAACAAATTTATTTTCTGTTGCAACGCACGGGTATATGTGCTAGTATAGGCACATACATGCAAAGGAAGGAATCAGAACAAGTGGCATGCAAGACGGCAAAGTCACGCACGTCAAGCTAAGTCAGATGCTGATGCATCTGGCTTTGAGGCATTATGAAAATTGCTGGATTTGGGCGATGGTTCTTCGCCCCGGCTGCCCATCAGGGATTTAGGCCTAGAGAGGACAGGGTGGTGGCATTCATCTGCTGAATTTTCTTCAACCGGGCAACACTTTTTCAGCACAGATGAGGGCCCTGTTCGGCAGGACTGAAAAAATAAGCCAAAATATTGTTCCGGCTAATTGTTGTGAGGAAAAAATATTGTTCTGGCTGAAAACACTATTCATATGAACAGTATTTTTCTGAGAGCGCTGGCCAGCCCAGCCGAATGTGGCCAGCCAGCCGAACGTGCGGGAGGTGGTTGTCTTCTTCTGGTTCATTGTCTTCCATGTTCTGTCATCCAACAAGACAACATCAGGGAGAAGTTTTCACAGGCATATGTTGAGTTTTCCTCTGCCATCCTCGATTTCTTGCCCAACAATCGCCCTGTTCATTTGGGCTTGTTTGGCTGATAAGCCATGGCTGAAAGTACTGTTGACTAATTTGGTGTGAGAGAAAAATATTGTTCGTTGGCTGAAAAAGTACGGCTTATAAGCCATACAAGTCCAAGCGAACAGGGCGATTAATGTCTCTAGTTGCATGCAAATCCAGAGAGACTATTCAGTATAACATGGTGAAAATAGGTTGTACTCATCGATTCACAGGTACAGAACTATGTTTTCTATACCGTATAGTTAATAGGATGAAGTGATACTCTTTGGATGTTTCACAGGTACATAACTATGTTTTATATACCATATAGTTAATAGGATGCAGTGATACTCTTTGGATGTTGTTAAGAACAAGCTGAAAGTACCAACAGTTTATAGCTAACTAATATACTGTCCGTGCTAACGCTACGGCAACATGGCTATATGCAAATTAGAACTTAAATATAAGCAAACTAAAATAACCAAATTAAATTGCAGAAAAAGGCAACATAATTGTTAGAAAAACACTATTCATGCCAATGATTAAAACAATCTTGACAATATCAAAAACATGATCTGAGTCCGTTCCGGTGATCTAATAATTAATTGATATCATGGTACAATTACATGTTTATTGATTTCTCCCACAACACCCCATTCAAGCCTTCTTCCTCCAAAACTCAATACCTTTAGTTCTAGCTTATGGCAAAAAAGGGTAATTATAATTTGAGCTACTGCCAGTCAGCCACTGCCCATATATCACTTGCCCGGTTGGCCGTGAAATCTGCGGTCCAACAAAAACAAATAAGAAAAAGTATAACAAATTATTATTTGGTGTACATTGCTAGTTAAAACAACTTGATAATTGCAACTTTTATCCATAACTTGCTAATTCCATTTTCACTCGCGCACTGACTCTCCAAAGAGAATCAAGCTGTAATGGATGGAAATGTGAGATCAACAATCTGGAAGACAACTTGGCAACATCGTGCAGTGCCTCAAACTGCAGTGCACTATGCATACCTCCACCCTCTAATAAGACTGCAAGAAAATTATTTTGTTCATTCCACAACCTATATATATTAGGGGACTTAAATCCTAGCATACAAGTGCAAAGCATGGAATCTAACAAATACCTTCAAGAACATTCTGAGCACAGCAGATGACAGCACATAGAAGCAATACCAGGGGAAAGAGATCACCAATGTTGTGGCTGTGGCTGTAAGAATGACAGGAGAAGATAATCAAGGTATCATGACCCTTCTTTAGGCCATTATATTAAGACTTGCTGGACATGTTGGCTCTGGGAAGAACTTCGGAAGTTGTTTGTGCCTATATTGCCATGTAGATTTGCATAAAAAAAAAAGCATTGAATGTATTACAAAGCTGTAAAAAAAGGAACTTATCTCAGCACACCTTCTGATCGGCATTGCCATATTATTGGAGGATTGTTGCTATTACTGGAGAGTGACGTTTGACGAATCACTTGCCTAACTGATGGATGAAATGCTTAGCAACCTTTTCAGAAACTCTTTTATGGCGTTACGAAGGTATGCATGTAAGTCACCACCCCGACAATACTCCAATATGAGATATATCCTCCCATGATCTTAATCATACACAATAGTGGTAATTATTAGTTAGAAACAGAGTTTTTACGGTCCCTGTGCATGGGAACGTCTTTATTTGCTGACCAAGAAAGAGATAACAGCATTAATACCAGAGAAAAATTAACCTATGTTCCACAAAATCTTAGCTTCCAGAAAACATCAATCTAACAAATTAACCAAGCTAAAGCCCACATAGCATTTCAAGAAATCATTAGCCCATGAGGACTGAACCTCCTATTTCAAGCAAGGCAGCAACTGGTGAACGAACATTCAGAGCTATCCTTTGCAAAATAGTTCCATCCAAAAGGACATTAAGTTAGACAGGGTATCTTTTGCTTATAGTTCCTACCTACCTAAAATTCTCCTTTTGAGTTGCTGTTATGCCATCTCAACTGCAATGTGGTCTATACATGACATTGAACCACGCATGATCCGTGCTCAAGCAAGCAAGCAAGCTCTCTGAAAGAAAGAAAAAAAACAAGCGCAGCGAAACAACACATTATCATCCAACCATACAATACCGTGCACTCGAAGGCACCCGCAGCAGACCGTATACCAAAGCAGTGACAACCCACTGAAATTCCCCAAAAGGTCCGAACTTTGCAAAACCCATTACTGAACCAACTCCTAAGCAGCGAACACTCCTAATTCATCAAGCTAAACTATTTAGATCGCCAAACTGGTGCATAAACAAGAGATCGCGTCAGGGGATCATGAATCATAAAGGCACTCGATCCCCAATTCAATCCACCCGATGGCCAGGTCCCCGTCAAAACAACCCATAAACCGAATCGAACCAGGATCCTCCCATCAAATTTAACCGCGCAGGATTGGAGTACAGCCGGGGACAAGGGGATCGGGTGTGTACAGTGATGTCGATGCATACCTGGTAGTCCGCCTCCTCCCGTCGCCAACGTCTGCCCATCCACATCGCGGCGGGGCCGCGGGAGTCACGCCGTCGTACGTGCACCGTCCGGCGGAGTCCGCGCACGGGGACTCGTCGCCCGTGGCGACCGTCCGCATCCTGATCAGCGAGCGGCGTCCGCAGCGCATCGCTGAAGGTCGTGGCCACTGCCGCCATGGTTCGCGGCGCGCAGCATGTCGAGTCCCGCCGTCCAAGAGACCGTCGAGGCGCGTGCTGCCGCTGGGATCGGCGCAGCGCGGATGCGCGGAGGGACGTGGCCGCGCCGGCCCAGGATTCCGGCGTGCCGGACGTGTCGGCTTGGCTGAGGTCGATCGCGCTCGTCCTGTAAGTTGCGGCGGCTGTGGTGCGGATCGTCTGAGGTCGGCGCTCTGATCGCGGGTGGGGGACGTCGTGGCTAGGGCTAGGGCGGCGCCACGATGGACGCGGCGTCGACGCGATGGGCGCGGGCGATGGGCGCGGCGGCGGCCCCGCAAGTTTCGAACGGTGTTTTTTTCCTTTTTTTATTCGGTGATGATGGGCTTGTCGTGGTTGGAGCGTTGAATCGCCATGTCGTGCGTTGAAGTGCGATGGAGGGCGTGGGGGCGAGAAGCCTGGCATCCCACGTCGAATCGTGGCCATCAGATTTGGTTAAGGTGTTTGATTAATCCTTGATTTTAATGATGCTAAATTCGTGTGTGATATTTTTTTTTTCATATAATTCTTCGGCTGTTACAATGATTAAAAATTGCTGGATTTGGGCGATGGGAGGACGTTTTCGGGGGCTAGAGAGGACTAGTATAATTTTAATTTTCTTCAACCCATTATAGTAGAGATATGAAACGACATCAGGGAGAAGTTTTCACGGCATATGTTGCTATTAGACTCAAAACTTCTCATTGCCATATAATATAGTTTCATATGAACCTAAATATATGCGACGCGGAACTTGCAAAAGAGCCAGCGTATTGAAAATCTGACCCTTCCATGCAAGTGTTCAGAAAGGGAATGAGCCTTAACAACTTATATGATTTATTTAATCAGTTTATAGATAATATGAAACGTGATACTGGACTCGTCATTGCCGATGAACGTAAATATATCAAATGGAACTTGCAGAATAGCCAGAGTATTGAAAATTTGACCCTTCCATGCAAGTGTTCAGAAAGGGAATGAGCATTAACAACTTATATGATTTATTTAATCTCAAGATTGATATTGTAGTAATATTCATTTAACGGTTTGGTGATGATTTATCACTTATTCAATGTTCTTGATGAATTGAAAATCAAGATGTATGTAATTCATGAAAATACATTAAACATGATAACAAACAAGTTTGATCAGAAACAAGATTAACAAGTCTTCTTCTACAGTTTTGTCCCCTTTCTGCTTTGTTTCTAGCAAGGGCTTGTTCTATACTTCTAGCTAAGCCATTGCATTAGCAACCTGAAACTTTTTTTTTTTTTGAAAAATCAACCTGAAACAATTTAAAGGGGTAAAGAGAAAGGGACAATTAATGGGGGAGAGAGAGAGAGGGTAAAGAAGATCAATCTATTCCTTGAGTTCTCATCACAATAATCCTCCAAATAAATAGACCAACTGCTAACAACCTGATCTACTGCTAATAAAACAATCTTAATCCTAACAAACACTTAGCTGATAAACATGACCTGGCCAAGCTAGCCGTAGCCGCACACCACATCCTGGCCTAGCTTCGACCGCCTAGAGTACTGTCGTCCGGTCATAACACTATGCGAATCAGTTGCCTTCCTATTGGTCTGCACTCCACACTATTTCAGCATCAGATCATCCACGGGGCCTAACCCGAAGGAGGCATCTTCAACACCAAGACCGGAGGTGGCAGTGGTGTCGAAGCAAGCAAGCGGCAACAGAGGCGGCCTCAGCATGCCGATCCGAGCGTGGTGGCAGTGTAGATATTGTAATTGGAAGAGTAAATTGTGCGGGCTGATTAATGGGAGAATTCGGCTGTAAACAATTACGGACGCAAAGGTTGCGATTACATATATGCCTTGATTAAATAAATTCTATTGACTAATTACCTTCCACAGATCAATGGCCAGAAAATTTCACAAGCAAAAGTACCTCGAAGTACCAGCTTCCCTCCCCAACCACTGTAACACAGCTCCTACCGAAGCATTTTTACTCTTCCACTAAGCTGATCGACTGAATCAGAAAGAGTCTCTGATCTGATTTGTGATGCATGTCTTGACTCTAGCCTTCAGTGTTTTTCAAATAACCTGAAATTACAAAAGCAAGAATGCCAACTATTGCCTCGGTGATTAAACAACTACTCGGGGCCCAACAAAGGATGAAATCCTTGGCTGACCAAAAATAGGTCAGAACGGGTGTTTGCGACGAGAGTATTCGTTGACTTAAGTTACACCAATAATTTTTTTCCCTCGAACAAAGTTACACCCATTCGGCTTGCTAAATTTTAGCTGAAACTAGCTAAAAAACACTGTTCTAGCTGAATTGTTGTGAGAGAAAAACACTATTCCAGCTGAAAAAATAAGCCGAACAAGCCGGCTTCTGGATAAGCCGAACGGGGCCTACAGTGTCGGTATCAGGAACAGAGTTTAGACTCCTATCAAAATTTATCTCACATACTAACTCCAGTGTAGGTATCAGGAACCACACAGAAAACTTGCTGATACTCACTCCATGCATACATTGTCTAAACATCTTTCATCAACTTCATAATAGGTAAATACTCTGCATCGGACAAGAACACAGGCGACACAATGCCACGCACTACTCTTCCATAGCATTATCTTCTGTCTGCTGCTGAACAACTTTGACCTTGATCTTTGTTTTCTCGGCTGTGACCTCGTTGCTAATAAGCTTCTTCGGAAGCATGCCGATGTCCTGATCCAGCTCCTTAGAATCTTTCTCCATCTCCTTGCGTTTACCAGGTTTATGTCTGTCAAAAGATGTACATGTTAGACAGGAAAATCCTTGCAAAATCAAACAGACAACAAATTGTACTACAATAACGAACCTGTTTGAAATGTGCTTCTCCAGACGGTCATGCCTAATCTTTGTAATAAGAGGGATGGCCTTCAGAGTTTGCTCTGTCAAATTGCGGTCATACCGCTCAGGCCTGTTCCTCTTTCTCTCAAACTCAAAGGTTGTATCCTGGTAAATTTCAAAGAATATCAGTCATGGTTTGAATAGGAAAAAATAGGACCTCCGATTATTACATGATATCAGAAACAACAAAGTGGTTACTAACCTTTGTCATGTCCTTGCCATGCAATTGCCTGTATGCTTTTGTCCACTTAACCTTACGAGGATTTCTCTTCATCTTAAAATTTTTATGACACTTTGACCGGCAAAAGCGGAAGATCTGGCAAGAAGAAATATACAATCACTCTTGCAGGGTACCAACAAGATACAAAATAGAAACTACAAAATTTACTTTAAAGGCAAGAAAAGCATACGCATTGCCTTATATTGCTCTGAAGTATTCATGCAAACAATTTTCGCAATAAACACTTTAACAGTCTAGAAAGAATATAAATTTGAACACTAAAACTAAAAATCATAATTCATGGGGGCATACATAACATATCAGTCAAAAGAAAATTACAACGGCATATTTTACCTTTCAATTTCAATCCAGAAGAAAAATAGAACCCCTGAACATCTTAATAAGGATAATCATCAATCAAGAAAAGAATGTAAAACTGATGTGTCATATTTAAACACGGCTAATGAAGAATATTTGTAAAGTATATAAATAAAGCAGTTTCATTTACATACGGCCAGAAGACAAAATATCCAACTTTACATTCTAGGCCCATAAAATTTTCAAAGGTGTGTTGCCGCATGTACCAAAATACCATATTGTTCCTCAAAGAACACTGGCCGCTCCTAACAGATACACATTACAAAGATCTAACAAGCAAGCCTACATGTTCTTCTATTGCAGACCAAGAAATGCGGTATTTTATATTTTCCTTGAATTCATCAAGGAGGCCACCGTTCACAGAATACAATAAATAACATTTATGGGAATCAGAAACTGTACGAATAAGCATTACTGAACAACCAGGAATCCAGGATAACACAAACGAATTAACTAGAAATTACATGCAAAATGATATAGAAAACAGAATCACGCATGCTGGAACAGTACAAAGCATACTAGAAATTACATGCAAAATGATATAGAAAACAGAATTACGCATGCTGGAACAGTACAAAACATACAAACGAATTTAGTTAGATCTTAGTTTTCTTTAAAGTAAAATTAAGTTACCTAGTCTACAGAACATTTAGTTATCGTAAGCATTATGGCACAATTGCATATCTTCTATCTTCTAGTAGATTCTGAATCTGAAATTAAACAGATAAAAATACAGTCTAGTGCTCTGTTTGTCACTATACAGTATTAAATTCACTGACTAAATCCATCAAGAAACAACAACAGGAGTAGGGAAAACCCAATTGGACAAGGAGCAAATAACTCTTACGCCAAACTGTCTCACAAATAAAGCAGGTAACTAAGGAGTTATAGCTAGTAGTCCCTACATTGCAAAACTTAAGGCATTGATAGACTTCGAGGCATGGTCTCGAAAACTAGATATCGACTCTTAATTTCTTATAATGCAGTGCTTGCAGAAACAAAATTATAACCATATGAAAATGCAGTAAAACGTGAATCCAAATATATCATTTTCACACCAACAAAATGAAAATCTGTTGAGGCTAATTGTTGGTTGAAGATTACAAAGTTTGGCTTAATGCGCACAAGCCTGAGTTTAATGTGCATTAGCCTTTATAAAATGAAGTGGAGGGAATAGCTAAAACCACAAATCAATGCTGCAGTTACCATGCATGTAAGCTGCAGCTTCTAAGCCAAATAATTAAGCCAAGTTCCTCAAGTGAAGACCAGATTTGGGTCTAACATCTTTTATGAAGTGTTCAGTGCTTACAACAAGGCAATCCTATGCATCAAGAAATGTCATGCCATGTGATTTCCATTTACATCTAATTAGCACCGTTAGATTTTTTCTACTAACATATCTAACCAGGTGACAGTATCAAACTATCAATTCTCTGAAGAGAGACAGACACCATTTGCCTAATTTTCTGTTTGACTCCCGCACAAACAAGATGATCACCATTATTAGTTCATCCCTAAATTTCGTTTTTAATAGAAGGTTCGCTTCATAATGATGAACTAGAAAAAGAAAAGGGCAAAAGGTTCTCTAACTTGCTTAGCAGTTCTACAGCAGATAAGAAAATGCTAAGGAGCCAGTTCTTGACAGGAAGACACAACAATCCATTATTTATATATTTACAGTGTTAAGTAATAACTTATAGCTCACTGCTCACACCAGCTCACCAATCAAAGACATACCGTAAGATTTTTATAGGAACCATATTTCCATTAACCTGTAGTGCCGGATATATCTCCAGACAACACCAGATACAAAGTCAGGGGCATGGTCCATCCAACGTCGTGAGCCAGAAACTAAAATATGCGATTGGGCACCAGAAACTAACACGGTCTCCCAAATATAACACAGGCAAGAAACTGATTCAACACAAGCAGCTAACAGTTTGGATTCAGTAATGGTTCCATGACTCCACCAAGGGCGAGCTCTTTATGTCAATCAAAATCAAACAAGGAAACCTTCCGAGGAAACAAGAAGAAGAGAAGCACCTTGGCATCGTTGCGGACGAACTGGATTCCATGGCCGGGGTAGATGGTGGAGGAGCAGAACCAGCACTTCTCCAACCTCATGGCGCCGCCTTCCTTGGTGCCGTCCTACGGGCCCCCGAATCAGCAGAAAAGGAACGGGTTTGGTGATATGCGACTGCGGCCAGCGGGCGGCTGTCGAGCGGCGGAGGGCACGCGCAACTGGCCGACTGCGGCCGCTAGGGTTTTCGAGAAGGGAGTGGAGAGCGGGGCTTATGTTGCTCGCTTGGTGGGCCGTCACTTTGGGCTGCCCCTTTGGGCCAGGCCGAACAGTTTACCAGTTTTGTCAGAGTTAAATTAAGAATGAATTTATAGAGAAAAATATCAATGTTTATTACACAAGTTAGATTAGATATGTGAAACTACATTTCATGGTAAATTGAATTGTATTGATTTGATATCATAAATATCGATATGTTTTCTATAAATTTAATCAAATTTACAATAGTTTGACTTTAGTTGAATTATAAGGTCTCTATTTTCTACGACGGAGGGAGTATAATTTTAAACGAACATATGACTGGTCTAAATAATTTTTTATTAAATATGTTTGGTTCGATTAATTATTTAGGTAATTTTAACCGTACTACAACTTGCATCCCCAGGTAAAGGCCGGGGATATATGTGAACCCTAGCTAAGGAGCCACAAAACATGGGCTGCGTGAGGGTAGCTTAGACCTTGGAGCATCTCGAATAGTTCCTAAAAATTCAATTGGTAAATCAATGAGTTTTTCAATTGGCAAAAAAAAAAGTTAGGAGCATATTTATTGAGTTTCTCCAACAGTTCTGAAAGTTCGCTCCTTAAATGGCTCTGTTCGCTTCTCTTATAATCCGTACTTTTCAGCTTATTTTTTTCAGTCGGAACAGTGTTTTTCTCTCACAACAAATCAGTCGGAACAGTGTTTCGGCACGTTTTTTCAGCGGAGGGAGCGGGGCCAATATAGAATGCAACTTTGCATCAAGAATTCTAAATTATTTCCAAAATCATAATCACTTTTATATTTTCTTTCTCTTTTACACATTTGCATTAAAAATCATGTACTACTATTTATTCTTCCCAACGTCCTTCTACCTCCGGATTGACCGATTGATAGGCGCACGTATATTTCCGTGATTGGTGGATTTTCCAAAGTGCAGAAAGATCGGTATATGAGATAGGGAGTTGTTGGAGAGCAGTTTTTTTTAATCTTGCCAAAAAAAATCAAGATTAGAAGTGGGTTTTAAAAACACTCTTGGAGATGCTCTTAGAGTGGAAAGCAACACCACATGGCCGCAGGTAGGATTTACGTACAAAGGTTGCTCTTTGCTTTTCTCAAATGTCTGTTTCCTCGAAACTCATATCACAATTCACAAATCATAAGTAGACTTGAGCAAATCTAGCCCGGTCCGCTCACCTTATTGGACATGACGTGGACAAAGGTTCTGCCGCTACCTATTTATCACGGTACATTTAACCTAAAACATTAATTTTATTCTCGGCCGAAATATATCGGGCCCAGACCTGCCCAGTTGGCCTTTTTGTAGGCTTGGCCCAAACACGCCGTGGCCTGACGTTTGCTCAGGTCTAAGGGGATGTTTGGTCACTGTTCGTCTCCTAAATCAGTCCCATTTAGTATCACTTTTTATCCAAACACTTTCACTAAATAGGACTAAATGGTCTTTAGCCAACTAGTCACTCAAATGTTGCTAAGTGGGACTAAACCTCATATTTTAGTCACTTTGAACCAAATACCCTGACTAAAAGGAACTAAAAGGCCTTTTTTAGTCTCTTTTAGTCCACCAAACCAAACAGAAGATGACTAAAGTTTACGAGCAATAGTTTAGGTGATTGAACTTTTGTAGGTGCAAACCAAACAAGCCCTAACTAATCACGAGGCTGTAATCGGTCAAGGATGGTTGGAGAACTTGGGTTAGACATGGCCATATGCTATGCAGGCCCGTCCCGAGAAATGCTGAACACTTGATCTGAACGTCCAGAGCTGACGTGGCGTTAACGTGACCGACCACCTGATCCTGCTCCTCGCCGCAAGCCTGGACGTACATAGCTTGAATTGAAGGCATAATATATGGATCAAGCTGCACTGCACAGCTAGGACAGTGGGTCTTCTCCTACTAGGGGAACATGGTGTGGGGTCTCCATGCCTCCATGACCATCCAGCCTGCCTGCGGTCTGCGGATGGATGAACCACCATGCATGCTTGCAATTCGCGTGCCCGTCCATAACCTCATGCCTGCATTTGAAACTGCAGACGAAGAGTAGTGAAACCGATCCAAAGCTAGCAGCCATCGATCGATCGCCGTACAGTACAGATGAACTAGCTGCCGCTTCACGCATACGAAAGGCGCACACACACCAGTGACAGACACCCTGACTCAGCCTTTCAGCAGGGGTTCCAAGCAAAGGTCATAACAGCACAAGATGCCTGCTCATTTTTAAAGTTCCAGACAAAGAGATGATCACTAATAATCTGGATAATCTGGAGCTCTTCACTCCTGTACTACAGCTGTGCTTCTGCATACAGCATACTCCACCTCAGTAACGAGTGATGAGCAAAGTTGTTCCGAAGACAGAATCATGACACATTTCAAGTCTGGCGCAACTTGGCACGTGGATATATGCCGGCCAACAAGGCGTCCGTGATCCGTCGTCCCTGCCTTTGCCGTGGGGTCAACAACTAGCTTGCAACTTGCAGGCACAGCAAATGCTGCTACACACACTGATGCGTGATGCCGCTCTAGCTACCTCCAGCAGCAGCTTTGAAATAAATTGAGGACTAATATACTCCCTAGAACTGCATAATCAAATACGGGCCGTTGTAATAAGGTTGTATGGGTGATCCAAATAATCTACTACTTCGTATCGTATTTTATCCATGCAGTTCAGTTTAGTGATCGTTACGTTGGAGTGCTACCTGCATTAATGCTTCGACCGATTACCCATGTACAGTATAAACTATCCTCGGCAACGGCCACCTGCATTCTTTCCTGCACTGCCAAGGCAACGGCTACTACTTTCTGCCCTTGTCGTATGCTCGTATTCATATGAACACAGATCACTGATGCTTTCTCTGTACTCAAATTATAGTTCGTTTGACTTTTTTAATCTCAAGTTTAACCATTCATCTTATTCAAAAAAAAATGTCTTTTTTAACCGAACAGAGATATTTGCCGGTGACGGTGAGCAAGCCAGCAAGGGACCTGTCTCCTGTAACCTGTCGTTATGGGCACTGAGCTGAGCAGGGCCCAACAGCATGTACACCTGGCTCTTCTTCTCGGCCAGCTCCATTTGCTGGGGGAGATGAGATTCTCGCCGCAGCTGGATGGCTTTGGAGCTGCCTCAGATGAACTCTCTTCGTCCTCCGTGATCTCTGCTGATTAGTTAGCTGCATAGGAACTCTAAAAAAAAGTTGGTTGTAAACTATATGGACATGCTAAAATAGGATAAAAATAAAAGTCAAACAGAGTGTAGTTTTTTTTTCTAGCTGTCCTTCCCACAGTCCCATTTTTTCATATTAAAACGCAGAAGCCGAGTGAGATTAGCTTATCTTAACCATGTTTTCTCTCTATCTGTACAACTTCTCGCGGAAGAGTTTCCTAGAAAATTTGTATGGACTAGCTTATGATGGTCCATATTTCTCAGCGTGTTTGACTGGTAGACTGCACAGTGGATTTTGGATTGTTTTGGATGATTCAATAGTGTTCTGTGAGAGAGAATAAGCTGAAACAAGCTGAAACAATCCATAATATGACCAGCCGAACGCTCCTATTTCTAGGGTTATTTATGTATATAAGTAAGTATGTGCTCAAATCATGGCCCGCCCCAACGGCATACTGATGAGCACATATTTGTCGGTGGAACGACAACGAGTGGCATACGTTGGTGGGCAAGCACGAAACGGATTTCTCCGACAGCTATCTGAGCTGAACTTTTGGCGTGCTCTTTATGGCAGAGTTTGGAGTCGTGCAAACACGAATGCCTTTCTTCTCTGCACCTAGTGATCGATCTTAAGCAAACCAAGTCTTGGTTCAGGTGACCGCTGTTCAGACCTCGCAGGAAATTGCTAGTATTACGATAATCTCCTGTGCTTATATCGCGCTTGCACAGCAATTGTCTGACGGATCATGCGGCTGCCATGCAGTGTAGAGCCATTCGCTCGTCCATGTGATCGCATTGATTTCAGTAACCCGTAAAAAAACTGGAATCCATGTAAGACATGGAAACCGATCTGGCCGGCACTTAACTAGGCGCAAATCCATTCTGCATCTCGAACAATGCTGTTTCTTGGAGCAGTAGGAGCAACTAAACAAATTGAGTTAGTACTCCCAATTTGCTGTTAGTACTAACTATGCGCGCCTCCACTACGAGATCTCCGAATCATCCGGTCAATGCCTCCCTCTGCCAGACTGTTCCCTCCCTCTCACGTGCTGACAACTCGAAGCCGATCGATCCACGGCCGTTAGTATATATCGCCATCATTCCGATGGATCCCTGCGTTGATTAGTTAACAACAGTGGAAGTGGGCCGTGAGCACCGCCACCATCTCCCACCACCTTTGCGGTGACATCAATGGCGGCGGCGGCAAGAACAACGAGCCTCCTTGCGGCGGCGTTGGCGGCGTTCCTGGCGCTGACGGCGGTGCCGGCGGTGCTGTGCCAGGCGCCGGGGCCGGCGGCGCCCAAGGGCCCGCCGAACGTGACGGCGATCCTGGAGAAAGGCGGGCAGTACACGACCTTCATCCGCCTGATGAAGTCGACGCAGCAGGACACGCAGCTCAACAGCCAGCTGAACAACTCGTTCGGGAGCGGGTACACGGTGTTCGCGCCCACCGACAACGCCTTCGCCAGCCTCAAGCCGGGCACGCTGAACAAGCTGTCGCAGCAGGAGCAGGTGTCGCTGGTGCAGTTCCACGTCCTGCCGGAGTTCTACTCCCTCGACTCCTTCGAGACCGCCAGCAACCCCGTCCGCACGCAGGCGTCGGGCTCCAACGGGCCCTACACGCTCAACATCACCGCCGACAGCAACAGCCAGGTGAACGTGTCCACGGGCGTCGTCGCCACCCGCCTCGGCACCGCACTGCGCGCGACGCAGCCGCTCGCCGTCTACTCCGTCGACACCGTGCTGCTGCCCAACGAACTGTTCGGTGTCAAGCCCCCGGTGTCGGCGCCGCCCGCGCCCTCAAAGAAGCCCGCCAAGGGGGGATCCATCGCCGAGGCGCCCGCCGGCGGCTCGGCCGACTCGGCGCCCTCTGGAGCGGCCGCGCGCGGCGCCAGGGTCACCGGCTGGAGCTCGCTGGCCTCTCTGCTCCTGGGTGCCGCCGCCTGCACCCTGCTGTAAGAATGTAAACATGGTTCGTGTCGTGCAGAGGAGATCGTCTTTGTCTTCGTCGTCGTCTCGTCCCCAACGCGCGAGAGCCCTGTGCATGACTAGTTCTTGTTCCTGCAGTTTCCTTTCCTCCTCTTCGTCTTCACCTGGTTTGGAGAAACCGGGCCATGTGATTCTTTCCGATGCCTGAATGTTGATGACGCATTGACACGAGCTGTTAATTTCTCCATCTTTTTCTCGTCTTGATTCATCGATCTTGGATCTGATTGTGCTTTGTCATGACTAGAATTAGATTTTCTTTTTTTGTTAGCAAAATCAGTAGTACGTATATCTGAGTACTATTTCTGATTCTTCCGGAGGAGCTGAAAATCTCTGCTTCAGAGGAGGCCGGCCCTCTTACAATTCACCCTACAGCAGGCCATGTGCTTGAGCCCGGCCCCATAGCCCAGACAGGCCCAGGGAGGGAAGCTAACCAAGCCTGCCCGCGCCTAGCCCGGTCCAGACCCAGAGCCCTAAGCGTCCGTTCAACTTTGTGTATGTGATTCGCGTGAGCGAGCGACAAAGCGACGACGAGGGGTTTGGTGCTGCTGCTGCAGCTGCAGAGCACGCACGGGCACGGCGTAGCGCATTCTAGAGGTGATGGAGATGGAGGCCGCGCGAGGTGAGAACGACGGCATGTCTGTCGGCGTGTGGTTGCCTGCCATCGCCAAGCAGCTCTCGTTGAGCCGTCGGTTTCTCCTCTTCTCCCGGGCTCGGCTCAGCTCTCTGACGCAAGGAAGCTTGTGCAGGGCAGGTGTGCGGCGCAGCCTTGCGCGAGCTGGAAAAACTCAGGTGGCGACGGGTGCTCTGCTCACCTGTCGCCGACGCTATTTTATTCTCGCACGCATCGTCCGTCCAGGTTCTCTCATACAGTCAGTCATACGCACATGGGTACACATCGCATGAGATCTACAGAGGCGAAGACCCGATCCGATCACTTGGCGATCGCATTCTCTGTAGGACGGACTTAACCGCCAAGAAAGGAGCTTCTTTTGTATAACGCGAGAATCATCACATTACTGGAAGTCTGAAACCTGAGATCTCGCATTCACGTATGCATGTCATGTAGAGTTGGGAGTTCAGGGTTCAGACAAGTTCCGGGTCGTCAGTTCAGAACTTGGCAACTTCAGAATTCAAGAATTCTATTCAGAACTTCAGAGTTTCGGATCAGGCGTTGCCGTGCGGGTAGGTGGCTCGGCATTTCTGCAAGTGTTCCCATCTGGCGTGTCGCTGAAGACGAAGAGACTGTTTGCTCGTGCCTTGCTGATCGGCGGTCGGTTTCCCGGTCGCTGCCGTGTCGTCGTCGCCGATATCTCCTCGTCCTCGTCAGCCTATTACTTCCAAAACGGACGCCATTCTCATTTTTCACACCGTTGCAGTTGCACTGCCATAGCTTCTTCTTTTTTCCCCCTGAAAAGAAATTTGCACTGGCATAGCCACCGGCCCACGAATTTCCACAGCAGCACGTTCAGAATGCACACCACCATTACGACCTTCAGTAAGATTTCACTGACCGAATACATACCATTACGACCTTCAGTAAGATTCCAATGTAATTCAGGGGGAAGAAAAAAAATGCTAGCCGTCGTCCACAGTGTACTACTGTATTCAGGAAAGCTCTGCATTTGTACACGCCGAACGGGTTTCAGCACGCACGTCGTCGCGGCGTTGGGCGGTCGCTGTCATTGCTTACAGGGGCATGGACTGTCGGTGGGATTAGTCTCTGCCCAGTTGCATCAATGCATGCATGATTACGATATTCTTCTCTCTTTGTCTAGAGAAGGCGTGATTAGGAGACAAATCAGCATACGTACGTATAACAAGCTTATTATCGCATTGTTTATCAGCGATTGCATCATGCAGCACATAATTGGCGAGCACCACTTTGTTTCTCCCCCCCACTAACCCCCCCACACCCACACCACCACTAAGGCCCGTTTAGACAACATCTAAAAAATTTTTCTTCTGATGTCATCGCATCATGAATCGAATTTGCAAGTACGTCGTGGAGCATTAAATATGAGCGAAAAAAAAAAACTAATTGCACAGTTAGGTGAGAAATCGCGAGACAAAACTTTTGAACCTAATTAGTCCATAATTAGACACTAATTGTCAAATACAAACGAAAGTGCTACAGTAGCCAAAATCCAAAAAAAAATGAATCTAAACGGGGCCTAAATATACAACTCCCAGCCGACAGAACTGTTGCGGCCACCGTCACCATGTACTACATACATATGTATCGATACCTACTCATTCAAAAAAAAACCCTCTTGTATTGTATCGATACCTACTCATCACAGGGAAAAAAAAAGATATTTGGATTTGGAGGCTTTGAGCTCCCTTACTTTGCATTGCAGCAGGTAGAACATCGCTCTCTGGCAAGCTGGCAAGCCCTGACTCGCCGCCACATGCGGCAGCCTGGAAGTACGTACTTACATGCACATACGAGTGATGTACAGTACAAAGTTACAAACATACCTACCTGTCTGGCACCACCAACGCGCACGCATACAGTACGTGTTTGCAAGCTTCCAAAATCCGCTGCCATCCACGCAGATAGATCTTTCCATGCATGTTTTCCGCTAGCTAGCTGCTACAGTACAACGGAAAAACACCCATGAATTTGTTTTTTCACGAAATTTGTTCAGATAAAGGTTCAAACGCATGCATGCGGTTGTAGATCGACGGCAGCTCGTAGGATGGCGTGTACTACATGAGCACTAGTAGTAGCTTGTTGAGCTGAACGAAGCTCAGGTGGTTCGCGGATCACATCGCGGCAACACGTAAAAAAGAAAAAAGACGTACTGGTTGGGTTGCCGTGACACCTGACTTGCCACGGTCGCAAAGGCCTATAAGGGCCAGGCCAGGCCCGTCCAGCTCAAACGTGCCGGTGCCTCCCGCGCCAACACGCACACTCTGGACGCGCGCTGGCTGGCAGCGGCAGGGCGTCGCCACCAACCGCCGCTATAATAAGTCTATTAAACACACACACCGCAGGCTCCATCAGATCCACCGCCACCGCCACCGCCACTCCAGCAGCAAGCAGCAGCATGGCACGCCTCGCCATCCTGGTGGTGCTCCTGGCGGCGTCGTCGGCGCTATCCGCAGCGCAGAAGGCGTCGCCCAAGCCGGCGGCGAAGGCGGCCCCTGGGCCAGCGTCGTCGGGCGGCAGCGCGGCGGACGCGGCGCCGCCGACGGACATAAACAAGGCGCTCAAGGACGAGCAGTTCAGCGAGTTCAAGCAGCTGCTCCACGACACGCGCGTGGACACGCAGATCAACGCGCAGCTGACGGACAGCTACAACGGGCTGACCATCGTGGCGCCCACCAACGCGGCGTTCGACAAGATGAAGGCCGGCGTGCTCAACGGGCTGTCGCCGCAGGAGCAGATCCAGATGGTGCTCTACTGCGTGATGCCCAGGTTCTACAGCCTCTCCATGCTCGGCACCCTCAACGGCAAGGTCACCACGCAGGGGTCCGGCCACGACGGGCCTTACAAGTACGACATCGAGCGGTCCGGGAACAACATCAACGTGTCCACGGGCGTCAACTGGATGCTGCTGGGCAGCCCCATCAGCAAGGAGTTCCCGCTCGCCATCTACCCCGTCGACAAGGTGCCGCTGCCGTACGAGCTGTTTGGCCCCAAGCCGCCGACGCCGGCGCCCGCGCCCGCACCCGCGCCGGCCAAGTCCAAGACCAAGAAGAAGAAGAAGTCCGCCGGCATCGCCGAGCCGCCCACGGCCGACGACGACACCTCCTCCTCCGACGACCAGAAGGCGGCGGCCGCGCCCGGTGCCGGCGGGGTGGCCACCAGGTGGGTCGTCGCAGCGCTCTCGGTCGGCGCCGCTGTCCTCGGCGGCGGCCTCTTCTGATGCGAAGAGGAGGAGGATCAATGCATCATCAGATCACACGGCGGCGGTACGGCGGTGGCTGTGGCGCGGTGGTGGCGTGATCCATGGAGATCGCTCCTGCGCCGTGCATTGCCATGCATCTCGCACGCACGGTCGATATGATCATAGAGTTGGTGTGCCCGGCCGTACAACCTCATTCATCCATCATTGATCCCTGTACCCCGTCCATGCATTTGTGCTGCTGCGTCTGCGTGCGTTTGTCCATCATCGGCTTTATTCTTTCTTCTCTCTTTTTCTTTTCTCTGGGGGATTAATTTTTCTTGGTGATTTGTATCTGTAACTTAATGTGATATACACTAGCAGTGCTGCTTCTTTCATTTCATTGGATTGGATCTTGGCCTCCCTGATCTGGATCTGCTTTTGTTTGGACGTATACGTATAGTATAGTAGCTGGTTGCTTGTAGTAGCCGCGTCGCTGTCGCTTGTGTTTTAAGCATTTTCTGGCAGTGAAAAGAAAACAGGGCTATGCAGACAGTGCAAGAGGTTCACAAATATCGAAGGCAGCAGATCAGACATGGGTGGTAGCAGTGGCAGTGCGTTGCCCACTCCACATCATCACCATCAGCATCAGGGGGAACGCATTATAGTATTGGTAGGTTGCGCCGTTGGGTTTAAAGTATTTTTAGGGTACGCACCGGGAGCCGGCCGGGAGGGGGCATCGTGATCCCCTTTTGCGCTGCCTCATCACAGTCACGTGCAGCCTACCCTACTCTGGATCTGGTGGCCTCCCGTTGTTCTTGCGGTGGATTCAAACCGGCCGGTGATGCGGTGGCGAGGCATGTGATCCTGGTCATGGAGCAGACTATTATTCTCTAAGTTTTGAGACGGCAGATCTCGTCCGGTGTTTTGAGAAATAAAGTAACTGTAGCTAGTTCATCCACTGTTCTCGTGGACCCGTATTGCTTTGTCAGTTAGTCACCGTACTGAGCGACCAAATTGTGTGATCGAGGTTGTGTTCCGGATTCCTTGTGCATTTTCTTAGAAGAGACTCTACTTGTGTACTACTTCTACTTGTTGTATAACATATGTTTTGGGCGACGCTAAGTTTTTTTTTTCGATAATGAGTCTGATTTGTTTGGGCCTCAAAACTCCCTCTACTCGACTTAAAAAAAATATATGTTTTACCTCGCTGAAACTATGGTCGTGGTCTATTTTTTCATCCTATAAACTCTTAAATCCATTCCAATTACCTCACTGGCCTAATTTGGAGTGGCTTTGAAGACGGTTTTATCCTCTTAGTTTGATAAATAGTACTTGGTAAGGTTTTTAAACCACAAAAAAAATCTCCAAGCTTTTAAAAATTGTAAAAAATAGAGAAAGATTGAGATGCGACAAATCTAAATAAAACATTCATGGTTCAAGAAAATATCTCTACATGCATAGAAAATAGATTTATCTCTAGGAAAATATAAATATCTTGAAATTTTCCGAAGCATTTTAATCAACATGTAAACATTTTTTTGTAAACTTCAACAAAAATATAATACACAATCAACATGATTGCATTCAACATTAATGTGTGATGCATTCATGCTGGTCACATCTCATATTTTTGCCATTTAAAAAAAACATGTTTACACTTCAGTTAGAATGTTTTAGGGATTTTCTAGATCTTTTCTCATTTTTCTAGGGCTAAACCTATTTTTCTAAAAGTTTCTAAAGATGTTTTCATGAGTTCTTGGTATTTTATTTAAAATTGTTACATCCCAATCTATCTCTAGTTTAAAAAAATCTTAGAGAAATTTTTATAGTTTAAAAACCACATCCAAGTATTTATCAGATTTTTATTAAAAAAAAGGATAAACTACATTCAAAAGCACTCAAAAACAGGGAGGTATTTGAATGGTTTTTGTAACACCTCGATGTTATGCCTGCATTTAGTCACTGCAAATCATACATATCATGCATCATCAAGCATCCTAATCATACATGCCTAATCATGTAAATAACAATTGAAACACTGCTTCGAAACAATTGAAACATGTTGTGAAACCTGAATGTTGCATACCTTTGTTAGAATTGTTTTTCGATTTTGCTTAGGATTAGTAAAACCTGTTTGGCTACTATTGTAAATCATCTAGGATTATGTAGTTCAATTTTGGAGCAAGGTTTGTATTAAAATTAATTAAAAATTTTGCTTCCAAAGTAATTTCCCGAAAATTAGGGTTTTGAGTTAAACATGGACTTTGATTTTTCAATTCAAAATCTAGAAAGAATTTGGTTTTGGTCATAAAAGCAAAGTTGTAGAGGATTGAGTTCTAAGCAATTTTATTTTTGGTCCATTTTAAAAGAAGTCATTTTCTTGCTCAAAAGGGTATTTGAAAAGCTGCTTTTGAAATTTCCTTAAAAATAAAATCGAAAATTGCCATTTCTTCTCTTCAAGACATTAGCCGCTTTTCTGACCCAAAGCCACAGTGTCTTACCTGACCGTATGTTGGATCCTTCTCCCTTGCGCGCCATCGCCGCCGCCATGCTCCCATCAAGATCAGGGCTTGCAGCCGCGTGGCGCCACCGTCGTCGGTGGTCGACTCACGCGTCACGTCTGTGGCGATCCCCCTGCACCGGTGGCCGCGGCTTAAGCTCCCGCAGAGCTCGCCCGGCATCGCATTTCTGCTCCTCCGCTTCGCCTCTCGCAAGGGCAACACCGGCGACACCGCCACCGGCCGCCACCAGCTCCCTCATTGATTTGGCTCGTCCCACCCACTGACTCACCGGCGACCACTCCATCTCGCTGAAGCTTCGCTTTCACCCGCGCACCCGTGTTCGCGCGCCGCCTTGATGGGAAGCCTCCTTCCTTGGGAATTGCTCGCCGGAGCACGCGGCCGAAGCTCATTGGTGAGCTCCGCTCCGTGGACTCCCCTCTCCGCTTCTCTTCCCGCCTTTTCCTTCCTGGCGCACAAGCACCGCAGACTATGACGATGAGTCTCCGGCGCCTCCTTTTCGCCATACCGTGGCGGAGACACTCCACCGACGACGACTTCGCCATTGCTGTCGGTGAGCCTCCCTCCCATGCACAGCCCCTCCCTATTCACCTCTATCCGATGTGGTTTGTCATGGGAGCACGTTGGTGCCCTGGAAGCCGTGGTCTGCGGCGGCTCCGGTGACAGCGTGGGTCCGGCTTGACCGCAGGTCCCGCGTGGCAGTCACTCTAGGTGTACAGCACCGGGTGCACCCAGCAGTTTTGTCAGTTGATTTTGAAAAGGGTTTAAGAAATGATTTTCAGATTTCTGTTTAAATGCTTTAGAAAATATTTGTGTACTCCTTTTAGCTCCAAATCTGTTGGAATAAATTTTGATAGGATCCTTATCACCAGATCTACTTGGAAAAATTATTGCATGTCATTTTTGAGATACTTTGCTGTAGAATTTTATTTAATCATGTATATTGCTGATAACTTGAAAAATATGTAGAAAAATCTATAGGCTTCAGAAAAATATGATTCCAAGTTTGTTAATCTTCTTATGTCATGTACTTCCTAGGAAAAATATGTTTCATGCATGTGCTGTGGAAAAATTTTGAGGTGTAGTTCAAGTACCTTTAATGGCTGATTTTTGTTATTTTAGTTAGAGAGCAAACTTTGTATAAAACATGCATGTGATAATTTTTGTACAGTCATTGTATGCTATGAAGAACCTAGGAAAAATGCTAAATCTGTTGTTTGACACTTTTCACAGTTCAAAGTATTTTTATGTTCATAGTCCTGCCATGCCTTGTCATTTTTGTGTAGACTATTTTACTTATCCAAACGCCATGAAAATTTTATGGTAGTCTACTTAGAGTAATACTATGCTACTGTAATTTTCTTAGATTTTTATAAGCACCAGAAATATAGGTTGCTGTTGTAGCCCTAGTTTAAAATGAAATAAAATAATCCTCTTTAATGCAAGTTAGTTAATAATGTTAGCTTTGGTGTATCTTTGAAGCATTTAATAAGATGTGTTGACTTAACATATTAGTAGTAGAAGAGAATGCAGTAGATGACATGTGCTTGTAGTATATTTTCTTGGATGATGTTGACTACCTTGCATTCAAACATATCCATTGTATTCATCTCATCCGATGCACCGATTGCATAAGCACTTACACACATTGCATCATACATGATCGAAAACCGAGAACCCAGTCGTCATACCCGAGGAGCCCGAGGAGCAGTTCGAGGTGCAGCCGCAGGAAGTGTCAGAAGCCGACGAGGAGGACGTTGAGGAACTTTCGGAGTGCCCTGATCACCGTCCGAGCTCCTTGAAGAGAGGCAAGCCCCGGAGCATTTTCCTCTCGGTTTGCAATTATTAATTAAATGCTTTACTTTAATTTATGCATTACGTTCAGAAGTTGTTTGCAATCGTTGCTGCATTATACCTTGTTTACCTTTGTTATACTATATCCTTGTTACCCTGGTATCCGCAGTCGAGTCAATGCTTAGCTGGCTTAGACCGGTAGAAGTCGGGTGATTTCCTGTCACCTGCGAGCTATAGGTGGTTACCTGGATCTGCTTGGATGACTATGAAGTCATGGTATAACTAAGTGTTAATTGAAGTTGAGACCGGACGGAGACTTGCGAGTTTTGGACTGTAGTGTTTAAAATGTCAGTCGATTAAGGACCGACCGTTGTTGGGCCTCGAGTCATGTTGAACGATGCCTTACATTTAGTTGGCGGATAAAGTACCTTCCGACCGCATAAAGTTGGGAGATTTTTCGGGCCGAGTAGATTGCCCATAGCCTGACCTTGTCGGGAAGCAGGTGTGGTAGGACACGGGCGAGATGATAAGACCAAAGTGCAGTCGGTCGGCCTCCGGGTACATGTGGTTTCTGGCAAACTCGAGATACCTGGAAAGTTGACTCGGTGATCAATATCTCACTTTAGCGGGTGAGTGAGGTTTGTGTAAGGAATAAATTACCAGCTGGTTAGGAATCGATTCGAATCGCCATCGCTCCTGGATAGTGAGCACTTGACTTGAGTGACT